ATGGTTGGCACAGAGTTCAGTTTCTTCTTAATGGTCAAAGATAACTTTTTCATTTTTCTGTGCTGGGGCTTGAACCCATGACCTCACATGTGAGGGAAGAAGCATTCTGCTGTGTTAAACTCCATCCCCTGCGTGAAAAAGAGCTTGAAACTGCTTTTTCAGCACCTGTCACTACTCTAAGTCACCAGGATCAAGGCTTCACATTGAAGGATGTGATTACCTTCTTATCATTTTGCAGGGTGACAGTGTGCTGTTTCCTCACCTAAACCACACTGGAAAGACAGGATTCTGGAGTCACAGGCTCTTGCTATCTGAGCATAACCCAAACATGACTAAGACAAAACATTGCTGCCAGGTCTCCTCCTGGCCCATGGTTCCCAAACCCAAATAGGGTGTTTCGGAAGGGAGGAACGCAGACCTGGGGTTATACTGCATCACAGATCTCTATAACAAAACCCCAAGATATGTGGCATCTCATGTCTGTATTCCCAGCACTCAGGAGGGAGAGGCAGGAGGATAAATTCAAAGTCATTATCAGCTACATAGAGTTAGACACTACCTAAGACCCTGGAGAAATAGCTGGAGAAATGGCTCAGTGGTTAAGAGCACTGGCTGCTCTTGCGGAGGATCCAGGTCACAAAGCAGACGCCATAAGCAGTGTCTCATGGCCAGTTTTGTTTACCTGGATAGAGTAAGGAAACAATCATAAAAGTCCACAGCACAGAACTTTACACAATTGTCTAGAATTCCTCAAAAGTCAATAAAAAGACTACTTTCCATTTAAACTAAACAGTGAATGCAATGGAATACACATTGAAGGGATTCCGAGACTGAACAATGGTGTCATAGAAGACATCTTTCAGGAAGTTGAGAAGTTTGGAGTATGCACTATCAATATTGGTTTTCTTGGGCATATATGGATATTAGTGGGTATGCAGGAGAATGCCATCCTTGCATCGTTGCTTAAGTACAAGGGGATGAAGTGCTGCAACTTCTGAGGTGTCTGTAATGTGCTTTCAAATGATTCAGCAAATATAAATTCACAGATTGGGCATGGTGGTGCACACTTCTAATTGAGCACTGGGAGTGTCAAGGCAAGAGGACTGAGTTTGACACCAAGCTGGGCTACATACTGACAAAATGGGGACTGGGAAGATGGCTCAGGTTGATAAGCGCTTTGTAAGCATGGGGACCCGAGTTTGGATCCTTCACACTCATGTAAAAGCCAGGCATGGTCCCACACATTTGTAACCCCAAATGATGTAGACAGGCAGATCCCTGGAGCTTGTGGCCAGCCAGTCTACCTGAATCCATAAGCTCCAGGTTCAGTGGCAGACCCTGTCTCAAAAATAAGGTGGAGAGGGGCTAGAGAGATGGCTCAGAGGTTAAGAGCACTGTTTGCTCTTACCAAGGACCTGGGTATAGTCCCCAGAACTCACATTGGATAATACCATCCTTAACTCCAGTTCCAAGGGATCCAACACCCACTTATGCTTACACAGGAACACGTCGCACATACATACACACACACACAGAACAGACATATACTATCTGTGTACAGACGTGTTTGTGCATAATGTGTGTGTGTGTGTGTGTGTGTGTATCTGGTTATCTAGATAAAAGACTGTCCTAGGGTTAATTGTGCAATATATCTTTAAAGCTTCTGTACATTTTTTTCTAAAGTTGGGGGAAATTTTAAAAATTTTTTTCATTGTATTTTTATATACTGAGGGGTGTGTCATGCCACAGCATGCATGTGGAGGTCAGAGAACACCAGAAAAACAGGTGGGTCACATATATTAAACTCGGGCTGTCAGGCTTGGCGGAAGTTTCTTTAGCCACTGAGCCCCTTGTTTTTCATGATACGAACTTGTCTTACTTTCATTAGCTCTCCAAGACTACAGTCCTTCACAGACAAGCTTTCTGTTTTAATCACAGAACTGAGAATTCATTGTGAGGCTACAGAGAAGAGAACCAACATTTCAAAAACTGATGATTTTCTGTGTGGTTGATTTCAAATGGCTGTGAAGGGGCCACCCAGCTTCAATAAGAGCCACTCCATTTTGCAATAGCCCCACCACCCAATGCTATGTGAGAGCTGACTTTAGTGGTGATCTATCAGCATGGGATGACATCACTGTATATGATCTTCTTCCCCTACCCTGAGGCTTCTGAATGCACATTCCAGCAGAACCCACAGCATGTTGGCAAGTTTGCATTCCTACTGGACTGTATCACTACCTTCCTGAAGGCAGGTACCCTCCTCTACCCCACAAGACTGCAAGCTCTACGAAAAAATAGGAAATTGACAAGTAACCAGATGAATAATGAAATAGGTAAAATAAAGACCTAAAATTGCCAACTTTTCAGAGAAAATTACAGAGATGATTTAGCATGTAATGATGTGGCTTACCTAGTATGACTCACCAGAGAGAGAGGGAGGAGAGACCAATTTATAAGGAAACTTCAAACCGTTACTGTTAGTCACATGGGCCTTGGTCAGAGGATTGGGAAGTCTCCAGTATGTAAAATGAAACAAAAAGGAATATGCTAGTGGATAGAAGCTATTGTTCCTTGTCTCAAGAGCTACAGTACAGCAGAGACCATTTGCTCAAAACGAGTACATTTGTGCTCAATATTGTATCAATGAGCAGAATCCTACAAATCAATAATTACATTCTTAATTAAACACAGAAAAATTCAATGTATATGAAAAAAAATTTCTGAGCTTTTTATAAAACCCATTTTAATCCATCAAGTTTAAAAGTGAACCAAAATCCTCTGAGACAAGTTTTAAAAAATTGTTTTGGGGGGCGGCTATGGGAAGGTGCCATTTGGGATGTGGGTATAAAGATGAATAAGATTGTTTAGGATGTTCTGTATGAAATATAAACAAAAAGTCAATAAAAATGAGTTATATTTGAGGAAGAAGCCTAAAAATTTGCTTCATGTTAATTAGTAGATATGAAAAACACTACTATTGAAATATACCTGATGAATTTATATCCATGCTCAGTTTCCAAGTATCCCACAAAGTAACCATGACTAGTAATAATCAGATATAGAGATTAGAGATGCATGCACAAACATCTAAGTGTTATTTGCATTAAAAATGAATTTTTTTGTATGAAACAGTATATTCTAAAATGAAATGGAGATCTTTTTTAAAGGTTAAAACCTCATTCAATTTTATGTCTTATAGGGTTTATACTGAGTTCAATAATGTATAACTGTATTAATTCAACGCCGTGAACCTAAAAATTACAGCATCTTTGCTCTGACATTTTGAAAGAAATGCATCTTTGCTCCGGAAACTGTTATTAACTATGTTAATGTTGTTGCAATGAAATGCTTCTACTAATTATGTGGTTATTAAATAAAATTAGCAAGGGAGCAGTTAAGCATATCCTCCAGGTCGCTCGTGACATTAGCAAGAAGCAGAGCAAACGGAGGACGAACACGAATGGGCGAGGAGAACAAAAAAGTGACGTTAACAGAGACTTCATTAGGTGTCCAAGTTGGGTCTGCGACACCCAAGGAACCCGTCTCTGAGTTATCGCCCATATATGTACCATTAAAGATGGCTCCACCTAATACAAAGAAGAGAGGATGCAAATCCAGGCAAGCTGCCAGCCTGCAGAGCTCCCAGCCCCCTGACAGTGTCTTTACGCCTGGGGTCAGGGTAGACATAGGAGTAAGGTTTTGTAGAGACAAGGTGTCTCCAGGCTGCCAGGGAGGAAGCCTGCGGGCGTCCATCATAATCCGTAGTAAAGAGGAGCACACTTCCAGGAATGAGCGGGAGGCATTGTTCCCATGGAATAGGAAAATGCAATGTGGTGGGAAGTTTATGGGTGGGAGGGCACCGGGTCCATGGAGGACGCCTGACCCTTGGGGGGAGGTGGCTCCAGGGGGCACGAAGGACACTGTAGCCTCTGAAGTGTCTTTTACTAAGGAAAAAAATATCAATTCGTTAATGTTGTCTCAAAATCCAAGTGTTACAGCATGTTGTTTTTAACAAAAACAGCAACACAAAAATTTTTCTGCAGTCTATGAAATATATTTTCCTCTACTAAAATAGCTTCTGTATCATTTTATTCTAGGTTCATGTGCTATTGCCATAACTGTGTATGAACTGAATTCCACCACATATGCTTAAATTCTGGCTCTTCAAAATACATTTCAGACATTCATGTACAGATTTGCTTCTTAAATGTGAATTAGAACTACTTGAGGACATTTTGGAAAACACCTATTCTGAGGACCTTTGCAGAGCAGATCAACCAAAATCTGACAGTCTGTCCTGGGCATTGGTATTTTTCGTCTTCAGGGGATTCTAAAGCTGGCCTCCCTTGAGAACCATCGACTCAGAGCAGTGCTAACTGTAATTTGATGTGGAGTGATAAAAAAAAAAAAAATTTTGTGCTGGGCCTTTGATCTCAACAGTCAGGAGGCAGAGGCAGGTGGATCCCTGTGAGTTCAAGACCAGCCTGATCTACATAGTGAGTTCCAGGCCAGCTGGGGCTACACAGGGAGACTCTGTCTCAAAAAGACCAAAAAAGAAAATTGTTTTGTAAAGCAGCTGTTTTAGCAGTACATTCTATGGCACTATGAAATCCACCAGGAATTAGAAAAGTCATTTTCCTATAGCTATAGACCAGAGCAGGGGTTGGAATTTCAAATTGCACTGGTGGGATAGTGCTTCAAATAGAAATAATCAAGTCAACAGAAAGATGTTCCTATATCCATCCTGTGGACTATGTGATAATGGCAAAGAAATATCATTGTCAAGGAACATTCGGTCTTTAAATGAAGAGACCTGCTACCTGCAATTCCATTATCTACCAGCAGAGAATCAGAACCAGACTATAAAAGAAAACAAAACAGCCTTTATAATCCATTGGGCAATTTTTATGAACTCTTTTTGTTGCAGAGATGGGGAGGCAAAAAAAACCCCAAACCAAACCAAACCAAACGAAACAAAAAAACAAATGAGTCGAAGGTGAGGTATCTTTGGAAAATTTAATTTGGACCATATTTTCTTCCTTTGCCGAAAACAGCACATATCTGCAGACATTTTGGGTTCCAGAGCTTACAAAGGGGCAGTGGTTTTCCCTCAGTCACATACAGTACCTGACTTTCTGGAGAAAGATAAGACTTTTTCAATCTTGCTTTTGAGTAGTTCCTACAAGTTCCTCACAGTAAGTGGCAAGTAAAGCAAGGTAAGGCTTTATTTTCCCTATCCCCTTTATGTACTATGTGACGGAGGGTAGGAAGGAAGACTGGTTATGTCAGTGTCGGTGCCCTTGGGGATTGCTGTGGAGTCCTCTGAGGTGCACCCATGGCACTGAGGTCCTGACACACTGCTGCATGAGGAACCTGAGACGGGTAAATACTGAGCAGCCTGTCACGGCCAAGTGCGACTGTCACAGCACAGAGGGGCCTGGGAGCTGTCTGGCTCTTCTTGGTGTCCATGGGGCTGATGGCCCTCACGAGTAACACAGGAACCTGGAACAAACCACGGTCTCCCACCTGGCATTACAGTACATGTTCACTTCATTGGGCATTCCAGTGTATTCACTGATAACAAAACAAGTTCAAAGTGCCTTTACCAATTCCTGTATCAAACTACTAGAATGAAGATAAAAGCATTTGTCTGATAAACATGTTTTCTGTCAGATGAAAATGGCTCCCTTGCAAGATGATCTATTTGTCACTACTTCTGCTTAGTGCACAAATTCCTTTAAGTGCATCATTTGCACAGCATTCTCATTTTTCAAGCTTGTTGCTTGAGAAAAAGGATAAGGCAGCCAAATTTAACTAATTTGGGTTGCAGGAAAGCATCCGAAACATTAACCTTCATCTTCTCTAGTGTTAAGAGCTCATGATTAAAGGTAATCAGTTTCTTCTCTTAACAGGAAACAATGCAGTTATGTCAATAAATGTACCTCTAGTAAACACAGGGCCCCCCTCATAAATATAAAATTAAATTCTTTTGAGGAATAGGTTTGTGACTTTAATATGTGGGGTTTATATTTATTCTTTATATTTTATAGTAAAAAGTGTATGGTCTAGTTTCTTTATATTCACACAGACGACTTCCTCTCAGCAGGCTCTCACATATAGATGGCAGGCTGGTTACTCAGCATGTTTCAGAAGGGTGGCAGCCACACAGCATGTGTTCCTAGAATCCCTGCAGAAACTCCTGCAGCTGGGTAACAATCTCCGTGTCCACTGTCTCCATGAGGGACTGGAAGCCTTGTTCCCCCAGGATCTCCTGTTGGGCCTTGAGCTTCTCATAGATGAATTGCTGCAGTGACACTGTGTGCACGGGGTCCTTCAGGGCCAGCTGTGGACAGAGGGTAAATAGTCAGAGAGGCAAGACCTGTAACTTATTATAACTCTTGGTAATCTCTTCCACAATAACAAAAGCGTTTCTGACCCTCACAAAGGAATCTCAAACAGTTTCCTATAGATATTTTCAGTTACTTTTCTAGGGCTCCTTGAGCATAAGTTGTCAATTTGCCTAGTTTCTCAAAAGTTGAGGACTCATCTGTTTAAGGTGCTAGAACATGGTAGAAAGAACCCAAAAATAACAGAACACACTAAAGAGCATTCTAGCGACTGCCTCATTGCCTAAGGAAGATCAGAGGTTATGCTGTAGCAACTCTGCGATGCCTCCAGGACAAGAGGACAAGGTATTTGCCCTAGCTTATGTTGCAGCACTATTTAAATCTAAGCATGTGTTTTTACATTTAGGAAAAAAAGGAAATAATAATAATTTTCTTCCCCTTTCCCCATGGGAGTATTTGGAAAATAAAAATAGTAAAATAAAAAAAAAAAAAAAGAATGTCTATGCCTGTGGAGGTCACATACATAGGCACACATAGACCATACATTAGAGCTGTTCTTTGCCTTTATATTATCTCAAAAATTCTATTTGAATGCATTTTAAGAACTCTAAATCTATGCCATATTTTCTGTTATATACATGTGAAAGCAATCACAGGATAAACACAATTTTAACAATGACTCTGCTCAACAGCCTACCACAAACACTGCTATGCTGCGATGTACACAGCCTTTCCTCCATAGTTCAGCTCATTTTCTCTTTCTCTCTCTCTTTTTTTTTTTTTGGTCTTTTTGAGTCAGGGTCTCCCTGTAGCCACAGCTGGCCTGGGTTCACTATGGAGATCAGGCTGGCCTCAAACTCACAGAGCTCCACCTGCCTCTGCCTCTGCCTCTGCCTCCCAAGTGCTGGAACTGAAGGCGTGTACCACCACACCCAGCTTCATTTTCTCTTTTTAAAGCTGCCTGAGCCTCACACTCCATAGCCGAAGTTCGCCTTGAATTTTAGAACCCTGTCTCTACTCCCAAGAGCTGGGTTATAGATATGTGTAACCATGCTTGGAATTTTTGCTTTTTTGGGATATCTATGTCCATCTATCTATTTTAGGATTATATATGTCTATTTATTTCAAAAGAATCACTAGGTTTAAGGGCACAATTGTATGACTCGACACATTCATCAGCGTGCTTTAAAAGGCACAAAATTTTTTAGCTGCTAACACTGTTGTTACTACTGATATCATTTATATGATTTATAATGTAATACCTAAAAAATAACACGTTACTCTAAGCTGTACATTTATTGCACCATCAGTAATACTGCACAACTTCAAGACTTTTAATAAAAATGCATGAGTGTTTTTACCCAATGTAGCTAGCTGAAGTATAGACATAACTGCTATTCGATGAGTGTAAATAGATTTTAAAATACGAGACAGATGCCATGAAACTGAAATCAGGACCCATATGACCAAGGCAGAATATAATAAACCCAAGGTAAGGAGTAATGTCAACTCATTTCCCTATAAGAGATGAAAGAGCATTCAGAGATCAAGATCTTGTCCACAAGTCGAAGGCATCATTCTACAACATGAGAAGCTGAAGGCAAGCACTTAAAAATATTTGCTTTCTTAAGTAACATGAGGTCATGGCCAATATTATTTTAATTATGAAAAAAAAACCTGTTTCAAAAGAGGGTTCTGACTTCATTGAAACATAATGCAAATTATCTATAAAGAAACTAATAGCTATGAGTGAAAAGCAGCTGAGCTTGTGGTTTAAGAACACTGGCTGTTCTTGCAGAAGACCCAAGTTTGAATCCCAGCACCCACATGGCAGCTAACAACTGACCGTAACTCCAGTTCCAAGGGATCCTACAGCCTCTTCTGACCTTTGTGGGCACTGCATGACATGGGTGCACTTACCTACATGCAGACATAACACTCATACACATAAAATAAAAATAATAAATTAAATAATAATAAAAAAAGGACTCCATGTCAAACATACCACTAGAACACCACATTCTGGGCTGGAGGTATAACTCAGCTGGTCAACTGCTTGCCTAGCATATATAAAGCTCTAAGTAGCATACACCTCTAAACCCAGACTCAAGAGGCAAGAGGACCAGAAGCTCAAGGTCATCCACAGCTACATGGCACATTTTAGACAAGACTGAGGTAAAGACCCTGTCCCAAAACTCCAAATACACAAGGAACTCAACATAAGACCTGGTACCCTAAATTTAATAGAGGAGAAAGTGAGGACTATGCTTCAGTGTATAGGTATAAGAAATGGACTTTTTTTTAATAGGAGCCCAGTAGCTTCATCCTTACTGGCTAGCTTCCATAGCACTAGAGGGTCTAGGCACTCTACCAAGGAGAAAAGTCATCAATTTTCCCAGCTGTGAACCCAGCAAACCACAACAACAATAGGCCTGGGCAAGATACGCCCACTGTTTCAATAGTGACATGAATGTTATAGAAGTAACCAACCAATTTCTGATTAAAGGCCCACTCCATAAGATGGAACCCAAGCCTAGCTAGAGAAGTTGTAGGCCCTAGAGGAGAAGCTCTACTACTATTCTGCTAAATGGACATAGCAGTAAAACCAACTCCTAATTACATTATATTATACTCGAGATTAATACAGATTTTAACGCTCATCAGAGGAGCTTCTTTTGCAGTAGTGATTAACAAAGACCCACAACTAGTCAGTGTGCAGAGAATGAGAGATGCCAGAATGACCAGCCCTAAATGAGACATCTACATCACACCCCTCCCCATAAGGCTCAGGGATAGGCATAAAAGAGAGAGTCAAAAGATTGTAAGAGCCAGAGGCAGTGAATGACTACAGTGAAACTGTTTTCTGGACATAACAGGGCAGTTGCACATACAAACTCACAGCAGTTATAAGAACAAGTACAAGCCCTACACAAGATCAAGTCCGACAAAATCCCAGCAATGGGGGCGGGGGGCATGAAGTCCCACCCCTAGCTGAGGAGTTACTGGCAACTGATGACTGCTGGGGGAGGGTGAGTCAGTTTTCTTCAGGGATGCAGGACATGAGAGGCTACCTGTGCTCCAGTAGAGTGTCCTAAACCCATGCACATAAAGACATCACTAAGTGAACTCGGTGCATCTAGAAAAATACAGCACATGAAGTTGAGAAGGCAAAGTGGTGGGAGAGAGTAAGGGAAGAATTGTAGGGAAGAGAATGGGGGACTGAATTAGATCAAAACATACTGTATGCATATATGAAGTTCTCAAAGAATTAAAAAAAAAGAGATAGATGGCTCAGTGGGTAAGAGTGTTTGTAAGCATGAAGATCTGAGTTCAAATTCCAAGAACTCATGGAAAAATCTAAATGCCTGTTAGTGCAGAAGTAGAAGAAAGGGGAACAGAGAAAAGAGGATCTGCTCCAGGCTCAGTGAGAGACCTTGTCTCAAGGGACTTTAGTGCAAACTGACAGTGCAGGGTACCAGATGTCTTCCTCTGGTCTCTGTGTACGCATGGTTAAGTGTATCCCCTGCATACACACAGGTGTTCTATATCATACATAAATACACCACACAAAAAATAAATTAATCAAATTAGTTTCAAAAGTCCACATTTTAATAGACAATTTGAAATACCAAAAGTAGGGAGTGGAGGCAGGAAGGAAGGTAGGAAGTTTACTATGAAGGGGCAACAATACCATACTGGATTTTTGTGGTGATAAGGAAATGTTCTGTATCTTGACTCATCAAAGTCAATATCCTGCTTATACTATTATAGCTTTACACAAAATATTAATATTTCAGAGAATTAATGAAGGGCACATAGGCCCTATTATTTCTTACAACGGTAACATTAAAAAGCTTCATTTAAATTAAATGTGACTCGTAGAGTCTCCCTCTTCAATCTTCCATAGCATGGTCATCTAACCAACACACTTCGATAGCACCCGATTCTTGAATATTTGAAATCTGAACAGGAAAAGGCAAAGTCTACCCCTTCGTAATATGGTGCTGACGTATGCACCACGTTATCAAATTATGGGGTCAAATTCTTGGGAGTCACATTATACAAACCCAAAATGACACTGTCACCTTTCTCTCACATCTGTCTCAAAGTTCTACTCAAGTAAAGCCCATCTTACCTGTTCCAGTTCATTCTATTTCTGATACCTGATTCCACAAGCCCTTAAGAGTACTTAAAAGTCTTACTTTTTTACCCAACAACCTTGCTGTTTTGGTTTATTAGATCAGACAAGTTTGTGTGTGTGTATGTGTGTGTGTGTGTGTGTGAGAGAGAGAGAGAGAGAGAGAGAGAGAGACAGAGAGTGTGGGAAAGAGAGAGACAGAATGACAGAATATTCCTTAATATTTCTTAGAAGCAGGTTTGTGTCTTCTATAAGTAAGGACTTTTACTTTTTCTTGTCTTCTGCCTATTTTTCTTGCCAGATAGCACAGGCCAGAACCTCTAATACTATGACAGAGAAGAAAGGAATGTGCAAATATTTTTCCTTGTTCTCATCTTAGGAAGAAAGCATTTATTAGTGAGTATGATGCTCATTGTACATTTTAATATATGCCTATTGATGTCTGGATTAGGAAACTCCTTTATCTTCTAAGTTCAAGAGTTTATGTCATGAATGGTACTAGATTTTTATTGAGTGTTTTCTGCATCTTTTGTGGTGATCATGTGGTTGTATTTTTCTATGAATATGGATCTTCAAATGTTAAGGTAATCTTGCAACTGTGGAGCAAATCCCACTTAATCATGGCATTGTCATTATATACTGTTAGACTGACTTTGCCAGTGTTTTGCCAGAGGTTGGTAAATCTATATTCAGGGGACAAATTGGCCTACAGCTTTCCTTCATCTTATCTTTTTTTCCTCCTTTTCCTTTCCCCTTCCTTGCCTTTTTTCTTTGATTTAGAGTCTCATGTAGCTCAGGCTGGCCTTGAACTTGTCATACTACTGCCTCAACTTCCTGAGTACCAGGATTACAGGTGCA